TTGTGAAAAAAGAGGTGAAAAATTAGGTGAAAAAAGAGGTGAAATCTCACCTCTTCACCTAAACATTATTTTTATTGAATTCAGCACAAAAATAATGAATTTCCTTAAGATAGAAAAAATAAAGTTAGTTTTATTTTTATTTATTTTTTTATTTTGTATGTAAAGACAGTAATGACAAACATTGAGTTTGAAACAGTTAGAAAGATAGACAATGACACCAAAGTGGTTAGAATAGGTGATTTAAACGTAAGATACTCAAAGAAATACAACAAATATTCTTTGTCAGACATTATAACACCATCTGGAAAGAAAACAAACGACTGGGTTAGAAATGCTTCAACTCAGAAAATTTTGACAAGAAATCCTGAGCTCATGATATCGGTAAGATTCTATGGAACCACAGCATATCTCATTGACAAAAGTCTTATACCAATAATTCTTCTATGGATTGACCCAGTTGTTGGATATAACTTCATAACATATGGTTCATTCGACTCAGAACGTTGCAGTGGAGGCTTACTTTATATCGTTCAGAAACCGAAGGACTTCAACACAAAAAGATATAAGATAGGAAGGACATATAATATAACTCAAAGATATGACAGTACAGTCAATAGAGTCAAGGTTGTGTTTGTTAATGATATGAGAGCTGCTGAAACAGAACTGCTTGAAGTTTTTGAGAAAATGGTGCTCCCACGAAAGGTAAAGAAACGTTTGAAGTAGATGAGATAGATAAAGCTATAAAATTATTTGACGAAGTTGCTGAAAAATACATGTAAAGCGTTTATTTTTGGTCTTTTGTGAAAGTCAGAAAATAACGCTAATTTTTTTCTAACAAATTTTTTTATTTTGTATGTAAAGACAGTAATGTCAACATTAGAGAACACAACAACAGTTATAGTCCATGAAGCCATAAATGAAGAATACGAGTACATACAGTATAACAAACAGTTACGTCTCATTCGTTCAGTCAAAGATGACATGTACCAAATGCAAAGTATAATGAATGCTCTTCGTTCTACAAAGCAAGCATATCATTGGTTTGAAAACCAACAGACAAAAGAACTTTTAGAAGAATTTCCTCATATGATTGCTTCCCTCGGAAAACCGAGAGAAGAGATTCCGTACGAAAATCGCAAGAATTTGGCTCCTGGTTTGAAAGGTTATTATGTTCATAGACTTTTAGTAAATGCTGTAGCAATGTGGGCTTCACCTCGTTATGCTTGTTATATTTTCATGATGTTAGATGAACTATATAAAGCAGAACGTGGAGAGATGGAAAAGAAACTTCATGCAAAAGATGAAGTCATTGAATCCAAAGACAAAAGCATACAGAAAAGAATACCGCGTTCAGTACCAAAAGGAAAGGAAAAGAGTATAAATATATGATTTATATTGAAGAGTTGGAGAAAGAAGAAGATAAAGATATGGTTATGTTGCATTTAGTCAGAAGAAACAACAAGAGCTTTTATGACTTAGCTAAAATATATAAATCTGACAGAAACTGGTTCTATCGTGAAAACTTACCGATTTCAATGACACCGAATGAGCAAATAAAGGAAATTGTCAAAAATACTCTTCCTCAAACACACTATGACATCAAAGGTTGCACAATACTTACATTCAAAGATGACTTAACATTACTGAAGGAAAAAATAACAGAATATTTCGACAACTTCAAAGAGGAAGAACGAAAAAATCTAAGCTAATTTTATTTTTTTTATAAAATTTTATCTCATATGAAAGAACATGAATTTAGAATATTCGGAACTCATGACAGAAGAAGAGAACGAACAACATGTAAAAGATTATGCAAAATTTCTGAAGACATACAAAGCATTTAAACAATATCTAAATGCTTCTAAAGATTATGCAAAATTTCTGAAGGTATATAAAGCTTATGAAAAAGCGTATGAAAAGTTTATACATTGGGGAATTGTTGTAAAATATCGATATGAAGACTAACCGAAAATATATTTTTGCTTAAATAGCTTCAGGGTCTATTTCTTCAACCATTTCACTTCCTTCGTCAATGTCAATAGAAGCTTCTTCAACCTTTGGTAAGAATTTCTGTATAACATCTTTGTTCGTTATTGTCTTCAGAGATGAAGGATAATATTTCACATTTGTTTCACCTTTCTTATATTCTTTCTGTTCGGAAAGATTTAAAGCAATACTGAAGAAGTCAACGTTAGAGTTCTTTATGACAGTATAATGAGTATCTTTGACATTCACGAAGAAACTCTTTTGTTTCAAAACTACTGCTAACTCTTGTGAAGTATAACGTTTGCGGTCAATGATGATAGCTAATGGTCTGACATACTGACCAAACTTAGATTCTTTTCACAAACTTCTTTAAAGATAACATTAACGTTGAAGCACCATTGAACTCATTCTTGATGGCAGTAGCGAGAGCATTGTATGAAGAACTTGCATCTTGCATGTGTTTCATTAAAATAAAAATATTAAATTAATTTTGAAAATAACTTTAAAAAATCTAATCTAATTTTTCAAAATATATTTTTTTATTTCCTACTAAAGATGTATCGGAAAGTTGTCTAAGTTAGAACACTCGGAGAATAAAAACAACTTCTTACAAAGCTAATATAATGTTGCAAAGCATTACGCAACAAACAAAAAAGCACTCGCTGACTTCATTAAAGACTATAATGGTGCAATAAGTTATGATAGAATTCATGAGTTCATAAAGCCGCAACGCGGCGAGGACGAAGTCCATGCAAACTTTTCCTTTAAAGACGTTGCCTATTGACTTATATCATAGACGTTCAGACCTCATGAAGTAAGAGAGAAATGTTTGACATAACAAATGCAAACGTTGGTGAAACAAGAAGAAGAGACGACACACTGAAACAACAGAGAAGAGAGATGTTTAAGAGCGCTATAGAACAAGTTCGCAAAGCTAACGATGTCCTTCGTTCCATTGACGACAAACCAAAAGAAGGTGAGAGATGGTTAAAGAAAGATGAAGAGAATAGGAAGAGGAATGTTAAGACAGGCAATAGACTCATTGACTTTAACATCGAAGCTTTAGATGAACCAAACAGAGACTACTTACACAAACATTTCGGTAAGGTTTTCATGAGACTCTTAGAGAAAATTAAAATAAACTCACAACAGAGATGGATGGTATGTTATAAACTTGGTGGAAAGTATGAATGTTCTACGTTAAACCTCAATAATATTGGAACATTACTACATCAGCTCTTGAAGGAGAACTTTATATCAGAGATAGAAGCAAATGCTGCAGGTATTGTTGAAATGCACTATGACTTCTTCTTGACAAACATAAAGAATCTTACTGAAATAAAGATGTATGATTTAACAGAATATGAAGGCTTAACGATGTCAGATGTTAAGAAAGGAAAGCCAAAAAAGAGACCATATAGAGATGAAAGCACACTGACAAATGACCAGAAAGCCATTTGGAAGCTCTTAAGCAAACAGGAAACCCAGCACTTATAGAAAACTTTTGGAAAGATAATGGTGAAAAGAAGTTTTATAAGAAGAGAAGCGGTCAGTTCTGGAAGTATCTTTGCACATTACCTATAAATCTTGAACGCTACCAAATCTTCAATGAACTGAACAAAAGAACTGCAGCACTTATGACAGAAGACAATTGTTTCGTTTATGCTTGCATTCAGGCTGGAGTAAATGAAGAAACTATTGACCACATGAGAGAAGTCATTCGTGTTAGAGACTTTCCTCAAAGTAAAGTACAAGAAATTTCTGACGCAACATATAGCATTTAATGTTACCATTATTTCAATGACTCAAGACATAATGAAATAAAGAGATACATACCAAAAGAATGTGAAACTGTTAGAACTATTGACTTACTTCTTGTTGAAGACCACTACATGCTAAACGAAAGATTACCAATGACAACATATTTCATTCGCAACTATATAGAAATCTTGAAGGAGTGTGGTGGAATGAACATTGAGAAACAAATGAAGATTTATACAAAGAGAGAAGATAAATATGTAGTTCGTTATGATAGAACAACACCGTTATGGGATGTTATGAAAACATTGTGCGAGTGCAAATATTTCGAACCTATTTCTTATGGAGAACTTTTCACATATACGACTGACTTATATAAACAGAACCTTGCACCATTTAAAGATTTGACATATGCTCCAAAGTATTGTGTACAACTGAAGAAGAAAGCCGAGTCAAAAGAAGTAAATAAAAATAAGTGCAAGTTCATTCCTGAGCACGTTTTCTTTGCTGACTTTGAGTGCAGTACCGATGGCTTTCATAAAGCTTTTAACATCTGTTATGACAGTGAAGATGGTTCAGTGAGTGAAAGCATTTGGGGTCAGAACTGTGCAACAGAATTTTTGGAACGACTTCCTGACAAGAGTTTAATATATTTCCATAACCTCAGTTATGATATAAACTTCATCTTAAGACACATGACAGAAGTGAAAGGAACTCCCATCATTAAAGGTTCACGAACAATGCAAATAACTGGCTTATATAAAGGAAGGGCAATTATTATAAAAGACTCTTACAGTGTTATAAATAAGAAGCTTAAACTATTTCCTGCTATGTTTAACTTACAAACAGGACCGAAAGAAGTATTTCCATATAACTACTACAGCAGTGTTTTGTTAGCAAATGACAACAGAACTGGTGTCATTTCTGAAGCATGTAAGTTTGTAAAAGATATTGATACATTCATGAAAAACATAGATTCCATCAAAGGTTGTAGAATAGATGAAAACCACTTCGACTTAGAAAAGTATAGCACATTTTATTGCAAACAAGATGTAAGAATTTTAAGAGAAGGTTTTGTTAAGTTCCGCAATGACATATTGAAAGAATTTGATTTAAACGTTTATGACTACGTTAGTATTTGTTCAATTGCTAACAAACTTTTCGAAAACAGAGTATATTTTCCGAATGGAAATTTATATGACCTCTCAAATAAACCAAGAGAATTTATTTCACGCTGTATTCAAGGTGGAAGATGTATGCTGTCAGATAACATTAAACAAAAGAGTAAAGAGAAACTCATTGCTGATTTCGACGCTGTTTCATTATATCCATCAGCTATAGCAAGACTTTATACTTTAGAAGGAATTCCAAAGGTTATGAAGAAAGAAATGTTAAGCACAGAGTATCTCATGAGACATTTATTCGATGACGGCCAAAAGGAACCCATTGGTGAAAAGTTTATGTCTGGCTTCTTTGTTCTCATTAAGATAACAGAGATTGGAATACATAGACACTTTCCTTTAATAGTTTGTGACCCTGAACTAAATCCAGAACTTAACGTTCCCAGAAGTTCAAACACTTGCTGTTTAATGTATGTTGACCATATAACATTACAAGACCTCATAAAATATCAAGGTGTCAAATGTGAAGTGTTGCAAGGATACTATTACGATGGAAACAGAGATATTAGAATAAGAGATGAAGTAAAGAAGTTGTTTGAGTTAAGGTTAAAGTATAAGAAAGAAGGAAATCCTTTGCAAGAAAATATAAAGCTCATTCTGAACAGTATTTATGGCAAAACTATTCTATCTCCTATTGAGTCAAAAATAACCATAGTAAATGACAAAGATGCTATAAGATATGGCATCAGAAACTACAACCATATAGTGAAGTTCGAAGGTTTGGATGGTTCAGATAAAACTATTTTCAAGCTAACGAAAAGCATTTGCAGACACTTTAACTTCTGTCCACTTGGTGTTAATATTCTGTCAATGTCGAAGAGAATAATGTGTGAAGTATTCTGTACTGCTGAAGATATGGGTCTTCAAATATTTTACCAGGACTGTGATAGCATGCATATTTTCAATGAAGACATCCCACTGTTAGCTCAGGAATTTCAGAAGAGATACGGTAGAGAACTTATTGGTAAAACATTAGGTCAGTTCCATTCTGACTTCGCAGAAATAACACCTGGAAAACAAAGTTTAGCATACAAGTCAATATTTTGTGGAAAGAAGACCTACATAGACTTACTCACGAATGATTTAAATGAAGTTGCATTTCATGCACGTTGTAAAGGTGTAAAACAAGACGTTCTTGCTTTAACAGCTAATGAAATGTTTCCTGAAGCTATACAATGCTATTACAATGAAGATAAGAACATTCACATACCTGTTGGAACATATGACAAAGACTCTGAGTTCAGTTTAATGAAACTTTACAAAGCACTTCATGATGGTCAAGAGATTGGATTTGACTTATGTAAGTCATGTCAACCTTGCTTTGCTGAAAAGTTTAACTTCTCAATAACGACTAAAACAAGCTTTATTCGTAAGTTGAATTCTGAGGTCATTTATTTTTTTGTCAGCAGTGAGACCATTCGTGATAAAATAAGCCGCTAGCGGCAAGGGCGAAGCCAATGTGGTCATTTACAATACTGCGATGGTAGAGTTTAAGAGTTGTGTCTTCAATGTAGAGACAGTCCTTATGGTCTGGAGGTAGCAAAACAGGTGCTTTATGGTCATGAGTGGAGAAACATGTCTATCCAAAACTCACGATTGAAGCCAGTAAGCTTGTAATACTTAGGGTTAGGAAGTGGTGAAGTTCTCGTATGACCAATGAACTCATTTTCAACTCCCTTACTTAAGTTTGAATATAATATAGCTTGCTTTCTATCCCAAATACCTGGAAATCTAATTTCGGAAAATTCATTTTTCCTCGGAAGCATTGCATCATAATTGAAAACATTTTTGAAATCATCACTTGGTTCAGAGATTTGAAATCTTATACGTAATGGATTTTCTTTCTTTTTAGCTACTTCATTGAATGGTGAGAATACAATGAATGACAGTCATGAGTTCCATCGCATTTGCTACAAACTCGTAATGAAAAGCTATTAATCTTTCTACAATTCCTTCTTCTTTCAGTTCTGCAAGAAAAATCACGTAAAGGCTGTAAAGTTTGTACTTCAATGTTAAATTCTTTTGAAATTTTCGTAAAATGTAATTTATACAGTCTTCTAACGTCGTACTGTCATTGAAGTATTTGTATATGTGAATGTTTTGGGCGCTTAAAGACTGTTCGTCATTTCTATCTCGACTTGAAGTATAAAGTCAACCTTTCTGAAAGCACGTGTTATATATACATAGATTGTTATGCCAATGTACTTCTCTTCATTTATGTTCACATCCAGTCTGTTGGAAAACTTAAACGTTACTTCTGTTCCCCTTTATTTTGACGTCAGGGTTTTCACTACTGAACGCAACAGATAAAGGTATTTGTCTATACATTTAATTCGGAATAAAAATAAACCATTTACTCTTTTTTTGCTTCAGCTTCTTTAGCTTTTGCTTCAGCTTCTTCTCTAGCTTTTTTCGCCAGTAGTCTTGGGTTCTTTTGTCTTCCAGCAGCTAATGCAGCAAGTTGTTTTTCACTAAGTTTTCTCTTTGGTCTCTCTGGCTTTGTTCTTGTTTTTGTTCCTTCAGTTCGGATAAAATTGCTCACGAATTTCTTTCTTCAATGCTTCAACATCTATGACCCTTGGGTCTTGTCCGTAGGGCTTGTCTGAGTCATTTGACTGCAGATAAAAAACAAAAATTAAAACTTTAACCGATGTAAAATGAGCTTGTCAAAATCAGAGCGAGAGTCTATTATTTAAATGACGCCAGAGGAATACAACATCCTTTCTATTACGTAAGTCAGAGTAAAGATGGTAAAATATACGTAAGAAAAAGAAAGGTTCCATTAGCGAATGCAGAAAGCGACAGTATTAAGGTGCATGGCACCGAGGGCGAAGCCCATGTTAAGCCTTCTATTCAAACTGAAAAGTCAATAGAACAAGAAGAAAAGAAGCCAGATGTACTTTCAATAACGAACCAAGAGCTTATTGCAAAGTTCGTGAATTTCATTGAAAAACAAACCGAGTCAAAGAATCCTGACCCGCCAGTGAAAGAAGTTGAGACAAAAGAGAATGTACAGTTCATTGAAAATGTCAAGAAACAACTTCCACCACGAATGCCAAGAAGAAGAGTGAGAATAATGAAGTAAATAGATATTTTTATCTGAAGTAAATACATGCAGAACGAACAGCTAAACGAATTTACTCCAGCAGAGCATATTCATCAGATTCGCTCATATTTCGATATCATAGACAATGCAGTTCAAATTGGTGACACTAATAGAAAATATTCTGACGCAAAGATTCATCACAACCTGGAACTGCTAAAGATAACACATGGGTAACATTCAATCTCTCACCTCCTGGTGAAAATATGTTGGACCTTTACAATACATTCATTACGTATAAAATGGAAGGTCAATTTATTGTAGATAAAGAAATTGGTTCAGGTTCCAATAAAACAAACCCACCAGGATTTTGGATTGGTTTCGATGACGCTTTCTATGCAGTTGCTGGATATCAAATCCTTGCAAATGGTCGTATCGTATATTCTCAAGACACGCAAGAGAAGAAGCATATATAACTTCAAACTCACAAACTACCGAACAAATAAAGAAAGTAGATGTTTTCTCAAAGACTCGACATGAAGATGTATGGAGTCATTCGGGAACATGCAGAACAGGACAAATTGTTAGTGGTCCAATTAAGCAGGAAAATCATTTGATTTTAAGCTTCGTTTAAGAATTCCTGTTAGAAGATTCCTTCCATTAGAAGCTATTCGATTTATTCCAGCTTTTGCAGGAAACATTCAGCTTAAAGTAAAGTTCAGTAGCGACGCCTTACAATGCACATCTATATCTGTAAATGATATCATTGCTTTCAATCCAACTCTTAAAGTTGCATTTGCTTCAGATTCAAATCCACCGACAAATAAATTTGTTCCATGGAATGAAACATTCACTATGATAACGAAGGCAGTAGAAGCTAGTGGAACAGTTACTATTACAACTGTAACCCAGCAACTATTTCGAACAAAGATGATTTTAATGAATGTTTCATTCATCCAAAGTCATTCTCTTTAGACCCTAACATTTATACAGAACTTGTAGAACATTATACAAACGAGGCTTTATGTTTTCCTGTTAAAGTTATGGATTGGATTCCTATGGACGGTTCATTCTCAAAGAATACAGATAGTTCAAGTGCAACATTTACAGCAGCTTATACGCCTATTAATGTTAAAAGTATTTGGGCACTATTTAGAAAGAAAGACAACTATTATGTTAATTTTGAGAACCCTAAGTTTAAATATCTTCAGCTTTCCATGGGAGCTTATGGAAATATGCCTGCAGAACCTGAAAAATCATATGGACCTGTATTTTATGAAATGGTTGCGAACGCCTGCAATACAAACAATGATATGATAGGATTTAATGAAGATGTTATGAGGTCATTGGTGGATGATGGTAGTGTGGAACATAAAATGGATAGCTATGACAAACACATTTCTTATGTGGTTTTCCAACAGAAGTAGACTTTTGCTTCCAGCAAGGTCAAACATCTACTGCTCCAATAACATACAAATTGTCTGTTAAAGGACCTATTGAACTAGCAACTGAAAATGTATCAAAGCCACTTATTGGATTTATGAGGGATTGTTGCTTTGCCATTCAGGTGCGTGCTAATGGCATCCCCATAATAATGTCATAAGACGAAATGGTGGAAGTGAGGTGAACTCAAAAAGTGACACATATTTGGCCGGCTAAATTTCCCTTTAGTTTACATGTCAAAATTACAATAAATTAATTATTTTGCTTAGCAATTAGCTATGTATTAAAACTAAAATTATTACTATTCAATTCTTTACATTCAAATATTAAACAATTCAAATTTAATAACAAAGATATTACAATAAATAAAAAAAATGATTAAAAATGTCCCTGAAAATTTTCTGAAAGCTATCTCGTGTTTAGGTCTCAATTTTTTTTAGAAATAGAAAAAGATTGGATTTAACTTTCAAACATTATATATAGTTTTGTATATGGAAGCCTTTAAATACATGTTAATGATATGGAGTTGTATTGCGAGGAAGAGGGAATCAAAGAAATTGACGAAGTTCCAGAATTTTATTCAACAATTCTTAATCAATTAACAAAAACTATACCGAAACTTATCTTACCATCCAAATCAAATCACATTACATACGGAATAAACATTTAATCTTTTATCATTAAAATTATATTTATACGTTATTTAATTTTTTTACGTCTAAGTTGAATAGGATAATAGCCGAAGATATAAAGTAACTATAGTTTACAAGCTAAGGAACAAATCAGCATTGAAACTAAAAAATGCTGAAATATTATAATAAATTGAAGAAATACTGTGATAGAATACCTAGTTATACTAGATACTATTATAATATGAATTCATTTGTATTGAATATCGATAATAAAAAATCGATGAAATATTAAAATGAGAATAAATTAATAATGAGATTATAAATTAGAATTATTTCTCTTTTATTTAAAATAAAAACTTAGTTCTATTTAAATTCGATAAAGAAGTACGAAAAAGTTGTATTATACGTATGATGTTGCCCGATGTTTGGTAACACTATTGTAGAATATAAGCATATATGATAGAAAAGCAATATGCTTAATATCGAGTAATTCTAATTTTTTACGAAATTATTCAAATACGTTATTTTTAAAAATGAAAAGATAAGCATACCATTATGCAGTAGTTTGCGCACATATACTATGCTGATGAAAGTTGGTCTCTAATTCGAAACTTGAGTCTGTCAAATTGACGTTCAAGTATTAAAAAGTTGTATTATACGTATGATGTTGCCCGATGTTTGGTAACACTATTGTAGAATATAAGCATATATGATAGAAAAGCAATATGCTTAATATCGAGTAATTCTAATTTTTTACGAAATTATTCAAATACGTTATTTTTTAGTTTCAATGCTGATTTGTTCCTTAGCTTGTAAACTATAGTTACTTTATATCTTCGGCTATTA